CTTGGGTAGGCTCAGAGGGTCTCAGGATAGGCTGGGGAAGCCAGCTCTCCCACGCAGAAGGCACTTCAGAAGATGGTGTTTCCAACCAACATGAAAGCATCCTATCTCTTGAATCTGAGGCCCCATCAATCACAAGATACATCCTAATTTCAGAGATGTTAAAATAAACATGTTTCTTAGAATCTCTAAGTGACATTTTCACATCCAAAACAGCCTTAACAATGTGTGTGGTTGGAAAGCACAGGGGCTGAATACCCACATAACAATGCTTTCGGGCAAGCCCATTCTTCATTCCAAACTCTCCTCCTGTCCCTCTCGGCTTCAGGGGAAAAGGGAAGTCAGATTTTCAAAAAGCTTCCTTGAGCAATGACAGCTCTGCTTGCCCATTCTGAATGTTTCTCAGTGTCTGACAAGAACTCTACATGTGCTGGCACTAACTATTATATCTCCAGCATGCTGCGAGGCTGACAGAGTGCTACAGGACGAATGGGGGATTTATGGACTCAATGGTTTCATTTAATCAGAGTGTGTGACATTCTCCTGGACCAAGGCAAGGAAATTCCTTATAAAGCTATGTATCTGCATAGATGCTGCAATTGTGCATGCCAGTGCACGTGTGTGGGATATGCATACACATTCCTCTGTGCACACCCAATGAGCGTGGATCAGTCTGTTTCACGCATTGATCAGTTTGTGAAATGATGGCAAAATCTTCTGCAGTAACTAATTCATGCAGAAGGCCAGCCCCTCACCTTCTGTCTACAATTTTATTTCTTCTCAAAGTTTGCCTTTCCAAGGTCTTTGCTATTAGAATATAGTTTCTTGATTGAAATGAACTGGATATTGTGACAGGCCTTATTCTCTGCTTTCTATTATCTTTCTTTCTTAGACTGCTGCTTCTGGGGCAAATCTCATCCCAAGAACATCAATGATGCTGAACAAATAAATAACCAGGGTTGTGAAGTGAAGTCTAAAATTTACAGAACAGGCTCGTCTATCAAAATTTGGACAACAGAGCACAGAGTCAATTATCACATATTAACTCGCTCTTGTTGGCATTTCAATGCATTTGGAAAATATTCACTTCCTCTCCACATACACCCCCAGTCATCCTGGAGCATTAGCAAAACTGAGAATGCCATGGACAAAACTCAGCTTCCCTTATGACTCTAAAAACTACTGGACACAGCACAGCTTATATCTCTTTGTACAAGAAGAAGGTTCTGATGTCTCATGTCCAAACTTTGGTAAAACAATAGTATACTACATGCAGTCTTGGATTTTGAGAAGCACTTCCACATAGATTATCTTACTTGATTTTCACAAGAGTGTAAAGCAAATCAGTCATCCTTTCCATTTTACAGGTGAGCAAACTGACATCCAAAAAAGTGAAGTGTCTTTTTATTAATGTGGATGGAAAAAAGGAACAAAGGAAAGAAGGAAGGGAGGAAAGGTTGGAAGGAGAGAGAGGGGAAGGGAGAGGGGAGGTGAAAGGAGGAAGGGAGGAAAAAAAGGCAGAAAGGAGGGAAGAAACAGGAAAGTATGAAACCACTTTTATAGCAATTAATTAATTCCTCAGCCCCATTTGGTAACAACAGCAGAAACAGAAATGAATAGTTTTCATACTAATAGTGCTAATAGTGAGTGCTGATAGCAAAGAGTAACAGTAAAAGCATCAACAGTACAGTAACACTACTGACTTATCTTTACACGCCATAGAATTTTTCCAGAGAAGTTTCATGTAGTATTGCATTCATTCTTCAAAACAAGCTTCTTGGAGAGTTACTGCAGGTTCTGTGCTGATGAGGAGGCTGAGACGCAAGGGGGTCATCTTTCTTCACAGCATCTAGATGACCACTGCTGGTTTCTGCCAGCAGGTCCTTTCCTGGTTCCCTCACCATTCTGCTATTGCTCTACCCACCTGTCCAAGCAGCTCGCAGGTCCCACCCTGCAAGCCCAGCTCCTATCTTGAGGAGGAAATGTGAAGAGGGGAACCCAGGGCAGATGCACAGTGAGGTAAGCATTACAGATGGGATTGCAGAAAGATAGCAAATGAAGGGAACCCCACTGCGGAGCGCTGGGCCCTCCAATGGTGGCCTGAACTAGGCTGATTCCCAAGAAGTGGCTCAGGCTGAAGGCAAGGAAGGTGCAGGCTCTGTCTCCTGGACTCTCTGGCAGATGGTATCTCTCTGACTATATCATTCTGCCTTCAGCTTTATCTTCATTCACCCACAGAAAGAAACCTCTCCTTTGAGTTGAAGGTTAAGCTTTTGATTTTTCCACTGTCTGGATGTGGGCTTCCTGGCCAGGAAGTTATCACCAGAGGCTCTGACAAGGGCAGATCATAATAAAATCCACTGCCTGCAACTCCACCCTTGGAAAGCACAATCCACTACAGTAGCTACCAGGGTTCTTTGGCCGTGTCTGCTCCTTTGCTCAGTGGACACTGGCTTTATGATGGCAAGCTGTGAAATAACCAGGGCAGTGGGCAGAGAGAGGGGAACATCCTATTACCTGCCATATCTAACTCATGAATTCAGGAAGAATGTGAGAAGATGGGTTTTAAAGGATCCCAGAAATCCTCATCATTTTTGCAATTAATGCTATGACTTGAGTGATAATAAAGAGAAATACAGAGAAATGTTCCTTACACACAGATAAATGGTTTTGAGATTGTGGTAACAGCATTCAAATGGGGCAGTGCTACCTTGTGCAGAAATAGCAATCCACAACCTAAACCCTTGACTCTGAGGGTGTGGATTTGCAACTGAAAGAAACAAACCACACAGCCCTTTCCCAATGTTTCCCAGGGCGAGGGCAATTATGACCAGACCTCCAGGCTAATCTTTCTTTTAGAAATATAAGGGGGGAAAGGTGGTGGTGGAGAGGGAAGTAGAGAGAGAAGTGGAGCTGTCAGCGGGCTTGATGTTAAATAAAACCTACCAAGACTCAGCTAAGAATTTTAGCAGAATCCAAATGTGCTAAAAAAAAAAAAAGAGAGAGAGAGAGAGAAAGAAAGAAAAAAAAAAGCATGGCTCCCATCTCTTAGGTTCACAGCTAAGCTGGCTTAGAATCACACATGCCAAGGTTAAAAATAAAAAGCAGCCATCCCTGAATGACACAGGCTCTGGGAAGGAAGCCTGAGGTATGTCGTTTGGTGGTGGAGGGAGGAGAGGGGAGGGAGAAGAGTCTGGGATCAGGGTATACGTGTTTATTGGAGGGTACATTATCTAAAAGCCAGATGCTCAGAATCTTGCCATTTTGCACTTAAAAGGCACTTCACATTGACAAAAGGTTTCATAATGATCTTCCATCGAGGAAACCCTGGCCTGCATTTGAATGTGGCCACAGCCGACCCACTCAGGACTCTGCTGCTCTCTGTGGGCTCACTGTGTCCCATACACCTAGATGGGACACCTGTGGGTCACAGCATAAAAGGTATGGTAGGCCGTCAGCATTGGCATGGAGCCAGTCTGACCATTCTGTGCCACCCTACTCTGTTAACCAGACATAATTGTGTGGGGGCCACCCACAGGCCAGCTGTATCCTGCTTGGTGCCATTGGAGACAGACTATGTGTCTACCTCCTCGGGACAGTGTATGCCGCACTCTTTGTCCCCATGACCACAACCACTGCTGGCCAGGAATAAACGGCAAGGTGACAAGTCAGGCCTTGTGGTCCCTCCTTCTTGTAAATCCATGGCCCCTTGTTTTGAGCCCATTGGGCCCTCTTTCTAATGAAACTGCCCTTTGTCCAATATGCTTATGACCTATACTGCCTAAAGCATTAGATAAAAATAAAAGTAGCCTCAGTTACTGTGTCAGCTCCCATGTTACCTCTCCCCAGTGCCATTACTATGCAGACGTTTCTAGGAAGTCCTCAAGGGTCAGGTGAATAATGAGAATTCTGTGACCCATATGTTGTGGGATGCCCACACATGACACCACGGACATGTAGGTTAATCCCACACATCAGCACCATACAGGGCTTGGGAGGCAGGTAGGCATTGAGGAGGAGAGGTTGCCACATTGCAGAAGCTTCAGTATGTGCCCAGACACCACCAGCTGGGATAATTCTCATCACCAGCATGCAATGGGGGAGTGGACAGCCTACCTATGATTAGCTGCCCCTAGGACCCTGGCCAGCCTTCACCTGTGGTGCCCACCGGTACTCCAAATTCCACATCTTGGCTGCTGGTTTAGAAGCATCGCCTAACATGAAGTGTCTTTTTTTTTTTTTTTAAAGCATGTTTAAAGTACTTTAGAAAAGCCTTGGGAGGTAGACAGAGCAAGGACTGCTTTCCTGCCCATTGTAATGGATGGGGAAATAGAGGCCAGGAGAGTTTAAGGAACTTGCCCCAGAGAAATGGCAGAGCCAAGACTCAGATCCAGGGTTCTTCCCACTACTCTGCTCCAGGACCACAGACCCAGGTCCAGAGGTGGGGGCGTGGGGTCTCAGCTTCAGCACAGCAACAAATACCTGGAGCTGGGATTGAGATTCCCTAAAAGATCTTTCTCATTCAGAGACCGCAGGAGATGTTCTCTCACCTGGCCTGAACGATGGAGACCTCTCCCAACCAGAACCCCACCGCAAGAGGTCTCTGTCCAGACTTCCCCTTCTCAGGGCAAGTGAGGGTCAGGATGGGGCCGTGTTCAGGCAGCACCTGTTCTTGCCCACCCCCTCCTCGGGGACCCTTAAGGCTGGTTACGGAGCCATCCCTCCAGATGGCACTCAGATTTGACTTTAGATCTCCCTTCTTTTCCCGCGACTCCAGTACAACCGGGAACGCCCTTTACAGTTCAAGAAACTGCGAGCCGGTCTAAATTCTGGGCAAATCCCTCAGCGGGAACTCCCCGGCCTCCCGCCACCTCCCCTCCCCCGAGCCATCCTGAACCCACACAACTAGCTGGGCTAGTCACGGGGAAGAGAAAACGCAGGAGACAGCTGTCAGTATGGAGCCGATGGGAGACTAGGCGCACGGAGTGGGGCTCCCCCCTTACCTGTACCAGTCCAGCCCGCGGCCGTAGTTCCTGTCGAAAAAGTGGGGCTCGGTGCCCAAGGCCCGCACGTCCGGGTGCACGCGGATGAACTCCAGCACGGCCCGGGTGCCCCCTTTCTTCACGCCCACGATGAGGGCTTGGGGCAGCCGCTTGGTACCCGGCTTCGGGGAGCCGGAGTGGTTGGAGCCGGACAGGCGAGGGGCGGGCACAGCGGCCGCGGGCGCGCTGGGAGCGCCGGGCTCGCTGGGCGTCGGCCCGAGGGGATCGCAGGGGCGGGACTTCTGGAGAAGTTTCTGGCCGCCCGCGCTGGGGCCGCGGAGGCAGCGAGGTGCGCCGAGGAGGCGGCTCCGGCCGAGGTCGTCGCAGCAGCACAGGAAGCTGTAGCACAGGTATGTGCAGGACAGCGAGAGCGTGAAGGCGAAGAGCAGCCTGCGCGCCCTCCGCGGCTGAGGTGGCCCCGCGCGGCCCAGGACCCTATAGGCCATGGCTCCATGGGCCCGCGCCGGGGGTCATGGTTTCCGAGGGGGCACCGGCGGCGAAGCTGCTGTGGCCCTGCGGTCGTCTAGAGGGCTCGCGTGGCGCTGCCCTGGCCGCGAGGGTCGGGCGTAGGGGGTGGCGTCTTCTCCGGGCGCTGCGGGTCAGGGCGCGCACCGTGCCCCGGGCTCCCGGGGGCGGCGGCTCCTCGGGG